AAGGAAAAAAAAAGTAACAATAATGTGTGATGATGGTTGGACAAATAGTGTGAATCATACACATTATGATTTTTTTGGTGTATTGTAGTAGGGGAACAATTTTCTTGAAATCTATTGATGCTTTTAGTGTTGGTACTAGAAATACTGATTACTACTTCCAATTATTAGATAAGGTTGTGGAGGAAGTGTAAGAAGAGTTTGTAATTCAAGTTGTTACACATAATGAAAAAAACACTTAAAGCAACTGGTCAAAACATTGTTTGGAGGATATAGGAAAAAAAATAATGTTTAAAAGTTATTAAGTGATGCAAAAGTAGTAACAACTTTTATCTACAATCACACATGGATTGTAAATCTCATGACAAAATACACTATAGGTAGAGAATTTGTTTGTCCTGGTGTTACCCAATTGGCAACACAATTCTTATAACTTCAAGCAAATGTGCAACAAAAGAAAGGCTTAAGGAACATGCTCAACTCTGAAATTTAGACGATCTAAATTTAGAAGAGAAAAAAAATGGACTAGCATTTGAAGACAAAATGTTAATGGTAGTGATTTTTTGGAGCAAGGCTAATGATATACTAAAGGTATTTGAGCCTTTAGTAAAAGTTTTGAGGCTAGTTGATGGTGATGAGAAGCCAACAATGGATTTTATATATGAAGTGATTGATTGAGCAAAACAATTAATTCAAAAGAATTATTGTTATTATTCTCAATACCAATAAATAATTGACATGTGTTGGAGATTCATGCATTTTGATCTTCATTCTACTGATATGTCATTATAATTTTACTTTTGTTATAAAACAATACATTCATACAATTATAGACACATATTGATTAACTATTTGTTTTTTAGGTTATTTTCTTAATCCATAATTTCAATGTGGAGTTGAACATGGATTTGATGTATATCAAAAGACATTTGATCAAGGGACCATTTTTGATCATTATGAGATTGGAGAGAAACATGAATGATCAAATTAAAGCCTTTTAAACTCAATTAGTAATAACTAATTAAATTTCATTTTTAAAATTATTGTTATATAACTATGTATTTATATCTTATATGATATAATTTTATATAGTTGACGTTGTTTAAAGACAAGGGTGAAACATTTGCTACACCTAAAGCTTTAAGAGCTTGGTCTAGAATGTATTTTTTTATAGATAATATTTTTATTTTGGCTTGTTCGTTTAAAAAGTTGAATGGTGGTTGGTGTTTGGTTCATGCATGCTCTCTTGAACTTCAATGTGTGACTATTAAAGTTTTAAGTCAAACAACTTCAACAACAAATTGTGAAAGAAAATAGAGTACATTTAGCTATATATATTCATACAAAGGCAAGGAATAGACTTAAGTATAGAAAGTTGCAAAAACTTGTCACAACATGAAATTGAAAATGAGGCATCAAATAAAAAAGGTAAGAAATTGAAGCAAGTTTCAATCCAATTAATCTTGGCTATATATTTTGAGAAGATAATCCATTATCTCCATGGATAGAAGAAAGATAAAATTCACTTTTAGATGGAGTTCAAAATTCAGAATGGTTGCTTTGAGTTGATATGGATGATGAAGATGTGGAAGATACAGATAATGATAATGATGGTGGTGACTTAAGCCCACCAAGTAATAATAGTTGTGATGAAGAACCTTCATGTGACACATTTTGTTTTTTTTTTCCTCTCCTAACTTGTGAATTGTCTTTTCTATTATTACCTAGAAATTAATAAACGACTAAAAGGAATCGTACTTGGGATAAAATTAGTTAGGTTTTCTTCCTTGAAAGAGTTCATATGGAGTCTTTTTCAAAATTGGTCTTATTAACACTCTATTTAAAACATGACATGTAGTATTTATAGCATCAGTCCAAAAATACTTTGACAAATTGTTCTCATTCAATATTGTTATAGCCAACTTTTCCAATGATCGATTTTTTCTTTCAACTACTCCATTTTGTTGGAGGGTTCTAGGAGCCGAAAAATTATGATCTATGCCATGCTTTTCACAACACTTTTGAAATAATTCATTTTGAAATTCTCCACCATGATCACTTTTTATGGAAACAACTTTAGTGTTTGTATCATTTTGAACTACTTTAATGAATTTCTTAAAAGTTTTAAATGCATCACTCTTTGAGGCTAAAAGCACAACCCAAGTGAATATAGAGTAATCACCAACCATTACTAAACCATAATAGTTGCCATCTATATATACTCATGGTTCTAGAACATCCAAATAAGTCCATGTGAATTAATTGCAAAGGCCTTGAGGTTGAAACAATGTTTTCACTTTTAAAACTAGCCTTTACTTGTTTTCCTTTTCGACAAGCATAACATAGTTTGTCCTTATAGAACTTGAGTTTGGAAAGTCTTATTACTAACTCTTTTCTCAAAAGTTTGTTTAAGTGATTCAGGTGTATGTGTGTAGCCCTCCTATGCCATAACCATGTATTTTCTTCTTTTTACAACAAACATTTAATGTGTGTGTGCAGATGCAAAGTTTAAATCAAGCATATAAATGTTATCTATTCTTTTACCTATGGATTTGATTTCATTTTTTGACTTATCACTTATTAAACAATTATTGTCAAATTCAATTTTAAAACCTTTATCACATAACTAACTTATACTCAACAAATTATGTTTTAGTTCTTCAACAAGTAATACATTTTCAATTAGAGTAAAGGTGTTACCAACATTACCACAACCAAGTATTTTTCCTTTATTGTTGTCCCCATAAGTCACATAGCTTTCATGCTTCATCTTGAGGCTTGAGAACTTAGGATCTCCAATCATATGCTTTGAGTAGCCACTATCCAAATACCACATCAAACTTTTGGCTCTCAAGCATTCTTACAACAACATTAAAAAATTAGATTTAGGTACCCATGTGTTGTGGGTCCTTGCATGTTAGTACTTAGCCCTTGGCTTTTAGCTATCCACATGTACTTACCACTTGGAACACCATATTTCCTTGTATAACAATTTTTAATTGTATGTCATCTCTTGCAACAATAAAAGCATGTAATGGATGGTTTAATGTATTTCTTAACAAAGCTAGTGGTTTTCTTTTCAAAACTATTCTTGTTTGTATTAAATCCTATTCCAACTTTATTATAGATATACCTTTGTTTTTCTAATAACATGTTTAAGTTTGCTTTACCATTTGTGAATCTTGTTAATGTGGTTTTCAAATCAGAATTTTCTTTTTTATAAATAGAGGAAGTTTCATAAACATTTTTTATGAAAGGGGGAGGTGTTGTATATGAGCATTCATTGAATTTATAAATTGTTTCAAGAGCTTCATGCTCTAATTTTAAATCTTCTAACTCTTGTTCAACTTTTATCAATGTGTTCTCATACCAACTAAGTTTCTCTTTCAGCTTGCTATTTAAGGCTTCTACTCTTAATGCTTCTTTATGTACTTGAATGAAATCTTCTTGTAATTGATCATAATCCAGAATAGATTCAGAATCATAATTACTTACAATGTTTTGTTGATCTATCCTAGCCATTAAGCACAAGTTAGCTTCTTCATTTTCAGAAACTTCACTTGAAGAGCTTATGTCTTTATCATCCCATGCTATGTAAGTTTTCTTTCCTTTGTTTTGCTTTTTGCCTTTCTTCGCCTCTTGTGATTTCTTAAGGTAGATAGGACAATCAACTTTTATATGTCCTTGTTTTCCACATTCAAAACAAGTGAATTGTATGGCATTTCTTTTATCTTTTTTGTTGTTCCTTTTAAAGCCTTGACTTGTTCTTTTCTTCCTCCTTAAGAATTTGCTGAAATTTCTCACCATGAGATTGAATTGTTTCGAATCCAAGACTTCAGAGCTTGAATCTTCAAAAATCTCTTTTCCCTTTCTAGAGGTTGACAACTTTAAAGAGACTTCTCTTCCTTTCATGTCCAACTGTTCATTTTCTTAAAATATATGCAAATTTTGTTCATGCTCTGTCAACTTACCAAAGAGACTGGCCAATGTCATTAAGGTCAAGTGCTTTAATTCTTTAATAGTTGTCACCTTGGCTTGTCATTATCTGTTTAGACACTACAATACTTTGAGATTTAGCTTTTCTTTCCCAAATCTCCTGCCAAGGTCCATGAAGTGATTAATAAGGTGTGAAAATCGTTTTTGAAATTCAGATATGCTCTCACTTTCTTATATCACTTATATATCTTTTGTCTCTCTTATCTCTTAATTGTTAAATATTTAAAAATATTTTTTAAATTATAAAATATTATCTAATATTAATTCTTAAAACTATTAAATATTTTTAAAATGGATAATATTTATTGTTATAAAATTTAATCTTAAAATTTTAATATATATATATATATATATATTTAAAATAAATTTTATCATGGTAGAAATTAAAATACCATATCCAAACTAAGAATTTAAAAATTTTAAATTTTATTAATAATAAAAATCAAATTATCATATCTAAAATAAGAATTTAAAATTTTAAAAAATTTAACCTGATTTATTCAAATAAAATATTTAAAAAATTATAAAAATTAAAATCAAAATAATTTAAATTTAAAAAATTTTAAATTTCTTAAATTTTTAAAATTCCTCGTTCAAATACATATAACTAATCTTTTTATTGAATGTGAGGAACTTAAATGATTAGTTTGTGATTGTAATTGTAAAGGAGATGAGCAGAGTTTGAAATGATAGCAGAGTATTAATTAATAGAGATTTTGTTTGGCATTGAAAGTTGAAAGTGCGGAAGACCAAAAGGTCAAAAGGTCCTCCTCTGGTGGAGAGCTGAATCCCCATTCCAGAGAAAACCTGTCCAAACAGCCACCCAATCTTATCACGTTTTGACTTTCCCCATACCCAATCTCAATCCGCTGTCACTTTACACCCTCCCTCATTTCCACACGCGCTTCGCAAAGCAGCGCCATCCTTCACCAACGCGCCACGTGTCCACCTTCTCCATCAACCCCCAGTCATCCTATCATTCCCCTTCATTCTCACTAACCCTAGTCTAAGCTATATATATCCCCCCACCTCCTCCTCATTCCCCTTCTCTCTCTCCTTTTCTCTCGCTCACTCATCAATCCTCATTCCTCATTCCTCATTCCTCAATCATCATCCCTTCTTTCCTTCTTCCTTCTTCCCTCTGCAAACCAAAATTTCACCCCCAAAACCCACGCCCCCAAAATTAGGGTTTCTCGCCGGGAATGTGATTCAGCGAGGACGCGGCAGGAGCGAGCGAACATCAATGGCGGAGAAGAGATTCGGCGTGATAGGATACGCGCTGGCGCCGAAGAAGCAGAACAGCTTCATCCGCGACTCGCTGGTGAGTCTGGCGAAATCGCGAGGCGTGGAACTCGTGCGCGTCGACTCGGAGAAGCCCCTCGCGGATCAGGGCCCCTTCGATTGCGTCCTCCACAAGCTCTACGGCGACGATTGGAAGCGCCAGCTCCGAGAGTTCCAGAGTCGGTACCCTAATGCGGTGATCCTGGACGCGCCGGAAGCGATCGAGCGCCTCCACAACCGAATCTCGATGCTGCAGGTGGTGTCGGAGCTCGAAATCGAGGACCGAAGCGAAACCTTCGGGATCCCGAAGCAGATTGTGATATACGACAAGGCCACGCTGGTGGACCCGCAGGCGTGGGAGAGCCTCAAGTTTCCGGTGATCGCGAAGCCGCTCGTCGCCGACGGCAGCGCGAAGTCGCACAAGATGGCGCTCGTGTTCACGCGGGACGCGCTCAACAAGCTGAAGCCGCCGATCGTGCTTCAGGAGTTCGTCAACCACGGCGGCGTCATCTTCAAGGTGTACGTCGTGGGCGAGCACGTGCGGTGCGTGAAGCGCAAGTCGCTCCCCGACGTATCCGAGGAGAAGGCGCTCGGCGTTTCGGAGGACCTTCTGTCGTTTTCGCAGGTCTCCAACTTGGCCAACCACGACGCTGTAAACGACAGCGACGGGTATTACCAGTTGATGCATTTGGACGACACCGAGATGCCCCCAAACGCCTTCGTCGTCGACATCGCCAGGGGCCTCAGGCGCGCCCTCAAGTTGAATCTCTTCAACTTCGATGTCATAAGGGACGCTCGATTCGGGAACCGCTACCTCATCATTGATATTAACTATTTCCCTGGCTACGCCAAAATGCCTGGCTACGAGGCCGTTTTGACCCAGTTTTTCTGCGATGTAATGCTCCAGAAACACCATCAGGGGGAGCCTCAAGTGCAGGTTCTAAGCAATGAGGGTGACGTTCCCGTTTCGCCTAACGAGAAAGAGGAATCTCTTCAAGTTTAAAATAGTTTTGTCTCACGAATGTGTTTCTGGTTCTGTCGGTGTCGTTGGTGGTTGGTGGCTTTTGGATAACCAGAATTTCCCCACTGGACCCATTCGCCTCATTGGTTGGTTGGCACGAGTTACACATTTCGATTTAGATTGCACTTGGTACAGTAGGCTTGTCTGTTGCTAGTTTTTTTAACCCTCTTAACAACATGTATATTCCATCAACCATTGCTCTCTGGAGATAGGTACCCTTTTTCAAATACCCTCAAGATTTAGGAAACTTGTATTTTGCGGCTTAACATTACTAAGCTAGAAACTGTTTTACTTTGTGCCTGTGTATTTTTTTGTTTTGTTTGACTCAATAACTTTATTTTCCCCATTTTGCCAATCATTTTGGATAACATGCTTTGGTTACATTGATTCTATTTAAGATTGTATTACTCAATTATGCATACCTTTGCTATTTCCCCCTGGTGTTTAAAATCCCGATCTTCCTTAAATTGGTATCATGCTAATGAATAATCCTTAAAGATGTGGAGAATAAAGAACCAAGGAGATAGACCCGTTATGCCACTTTTGCTTCCCTCTTCAAGTATCTGAGGTCTTAGTAAAGAGGAAAAAATGCTTGAACTGTGCCAACTCTGGTTTAATTCTGGTCAAGATACTAGATATTCAAATCTGTTTGATGATTTCATACACAATGATTCAAATTATTTGTTTATTTGTGAGCTTATTCAGGTTTTTCCTTCTGTTGAAAGATGCTAATGCACATCTTTTCGGTTTGTTTTATTTTGCTACTATTTATAAGTTGATATGAAATTTCAACACCTTAATAGTTAATACACTACTTAATAAAAGCAGTAATATTAATACTAAAAGTCTGGTGCAAAACAATCAGTTTCCTTACAGTGACTTTTATGTATTTATCGGATTTTATTTGCTACCACTGTGTGTGCTCAATGATTGCTACCGTGTTAAGTTTCACATTTGCTACCACTGTGTGTTCTCAATGATTGCTCATTGCTACCACTGACCTGTTGCTTGTCTAAATTATTAACATTATTTGAGGTGAAATTGAAGGGTAACATGCGTATCTACTGCATCTCCAAACATACTGCATTGACTTTTTCCAATTTTTACTTTTAGTTCTCGAATTTTTCTCTCATTAACATTTTAGTTCATGGTGTCAAAAATTTTTGTTCATGAAGAAAACTTCCGGGGACTAAAACTAAATAAAATTTGTTTAGAGACTAAAATCAAAAATTGACAAGAGTTCAGAGACAAAATATATTTAATCAATTTATTTTATTATTTAAATTGTACTGTCTTAGATTGTGGCACATTTTTATCAGTTTTATGTGCAATAATTTTTTCTATATACATGAATGTCTCAAAATAGTTTTATGTGCTGCAACAGTTGCATTGAAAAATATGCATAGCATGTAAAGTTCTCAGCTTGTGTGCATTTTCATATTAAGTTGATGTTCTTTTGGAAGACTGGGAGTCTTATCTTTTGCTGTTATTGTTTAATTGTAAACTATCTGCTTGTTTACAGAATTTTCACTTGCAACGGATGACAAGGGTTTGACAAAGGTGCATAGGATATGGAATACAAACTCAATATGACTTGTATATTAAAGTTTTCTGTTTTCAGTCCTTGAAATAATGTGATTCTAGCTCTAATCCAAACAATGAAGGCCATATATAATTGTTGGAAAGCTGCCTCAATTGTGGGCACCCCTAGGCCTAAAAGGGCTACCTACAAAGCTGCTGACAAGAACGGCTATTTTAAGTGTCATAAAGTGCATTCATTGAGATGTGACTATTAGGCAGTTTAGTTCCATTCCCACATCTACGAGAGATATGATTTACGTTGAACTTAAAAAGCTTGGGTAGATCTTGTAAGTCAGTTTTGTGGAGTTAAATTAAACTCAAAGATCAAATTCTAAGATGATATCGTAACCTATCTTAGATCTATTGTTGCATCACCTGCATTGTCAGTTTACCAGGCTCTAGGCCTATAGATCTGGGTGTGAGAAAAGAGAGGGGGTGGGGGGGAAATGTTGGAAAGCTGCTTTAATTGTGGTCAGCGCTTAGCTGAAAAGGGCAACCAGAGAGTGAATAGACTGTTAGAAAGGTTGAGTAGAGTGCAGCTATCAGGATGTGACTCTTAGGCAGTCTGATCCCACATGGATTAGAAATATGACTCAAGTAGAGCTTATAAAATCAGACAATTCTCATCTTATAAAACAGTTTTGTTGGTTTGACTTTGAACTTGAGTCCAAATTCTAAAAATTATAATTTCTCTTATTTGACCAGGTTGATTCCCCCAAACATGGTGTTTTCCCTAATCTTTTGTATTAGTAAGAGAACATGCCTTGTGCTCTGGACAAATAGTACTTTATTGTGATGCAATTTTCAAGTTGGTTTTCTTTAGGAGAATATCTTAAAATTGTAGGTCTACGATTGTTGATGTTATGTTTAATAGTTTTCATTTCCCTTTTAAGTTTTAACCAATTGAACTTTCCTTATCTTGAGTTTCCAGTGAAAATGTATACTGGAACATGATTTGGAAGATTTGGAGGAGGTTGAACACATTTCAGATAAGTAAATTAGTCTATGCTGAAATAATTGTGTAAATTTCACTAAAAGAATTTTTTTCTTATGATGTTTTCTTTTACTTTGTATTCCTATGACAATTAACCTAATACAATGACTCTGCTTTTGAAGTTTTGCATCTGTATTTATATGGCATGCAACAATGGATGATATAGTGCTCTCCTAGTTTCTATGGGATTTTGGATTTGAAACCCACTAGACATAGTTCATATTATTTCACTTGGGCTTGCTGTCATTAACTTCTATTGGAAATTTACCATTGTCATGTTTCATAATTTATAAGCTATCGTATTTCCTAATTTTGACTGAATGTTAACCTCGCAGATATTAAAATTAATTCTTTGCCTTTCCATGAAAGGAAAAGGAAATGAAAAAGTGACTTGTTTGTGGGCATAATGAGATTCTGACTCATGATTATTTTTGTTTAGTGGGATAGATAGAAGTCTTTTAACCTGGTAGTAAATGTGTTTTTGTTTTGCCAATTGCCTCTGTTTGATTGGTCATCCTCGTCTCTGCTCTGTTGGTCATCCTGCCTACTGGTATGCGTTCCAGATTTGTGTGTTTGATCTTATTTTGCTCCAGCGATGTATGTGTGTTTCGCTACTGTCTGACTGTGATATAATGCAAGTCAAGTTCGTTTGCATTTTCTGTCATTATCATAGGTTAAAATCATCAAGGTTTGAGACTCCCTCCAGCTTTATTAGGGTTTGGGGCAATGCATAAGGAAAAAAATATAATAGGCTAAAACTCTATTTTAGTCCCTTATAATCTTTTTTTGTTTCAATTTAGTTCTAGTGTTAGATGTGTGGAATGGTGTATATGTGCAATTTGTTTATATGTACATATGTGGATTATGATGAGATGATGGAATATGTGGATTTGAGAAATGATGTTGAACATGTGGATTTGAGAAATGATGTTGAACATGTTTGAATGATGAATGTTGTGTTTATGGAATATATTGCTTTGAGATTGTTTTGCGGAATTTTGTGATGTGCTTTCTATATAATTATTTTCTTTTCTCACCATACATTTGTGGTTGTTTTTAGGTGAGGAAGATGTGGACATGAGTGGCATTTAAGGTGCCAATAATTGAGTCATGGGAGTGCTCTGATAGTGTAACATCGAGGCAAGGGTCTTTTAGGACTTTAATTTTTATTTATTGTAATTGGAGTTTTTACATTTCCTTTGAAACTATTTACGAACTTATTTGCTTTCTAAACTTTATTTTAAATTGATCAGATTGGAAATGTATTTTCTTTTGGACATGTGAACCATTTTACCTATGTTAAATTAATATTTCCTTAATTTACTTTATTGTGTATATTAGGGTAGAATGGGTGTCACATCTTGATAGTTAACTGTTTCGACGTTTCTTCCCCATTACCCACTTGGATTGTAACTGGTTTAATCATTAAGTGTGCCCCGCTCTAGAGTGCGGGCTTGATTACTATCAGCTTACACTCCACTTAGTAATATGCATAGGTCAATTTCCCTTTTTACACTTATTTATTTATTTACAAGGAAGAATGTGTTCTAAAGGAAGAATGGGCTTGATTACTTATTTATCAATCTCATTGATTTGTTTATCGGTGGATGCTTAATGTTTTTTAACAGATTTTGACAGTATCGCAAAAAACTAAAGAAACCAAAAGGTGGTTGATGTCTATGCAAAACATGCATTATTAGAGCCTAAATCTGCACTGTTTGTTTTTTTGTGAGATCATAATTTGCCCCAAATTTTGCTTAGAACATCTTTTAGGAATTTTCATTCTAATGGGCTTTCGCAAATAGTGTAAACTAGACTCCAAGAAGTCTTGCCTTAATAAATATCGAAAAGGCCCTACCATAGTATCTTTCAAAATCCATTTGGACCTTTTTTTAGAGAGCAGATACTGTCTATCTTAGGCATGAAATATTTTAAGACATTCACCTTTCTAAACTGTATGTGCATATTTCTACCTAATTCTTCCATATCATCTAATAGAATAAAACGAATGGGAATAAATGAGCTAGTCTAAAATGCATTTTTTTTTCGCCTAAGCTTTATCATGTTTCCATTATCTAAGAGGAGATGATGCATGGTAAAGACAATTTATTCATCATTTTTTTATAAAAAAAAAAAAAAAACTACCTACGTGATGCTTAATGAGATGATGACATAAGGATGTACAAGAGGGTATTAATTCCTTTATTTTTTATTATTATTTGTTGTTTGCTTAGAATTCCAATCCTAAAACAAATAATGTATACAAAAAAATGTGCACACACATGCTCAATAAACGTACACCTATGAACAATCACGTTCAAATCCATGGTTTGGGGTCCCTATCAAAGAAAGTGTGTTGTATAGGATGGTTCTAATTATCCTCACTAACTAGTCTTAAAAGTTAACACTGTTAAAGCAATTTGGACGGAAAGTTCCACATTGAAACCAATTAATTAATTTAGGACTAAATTAAAACTAATTAATTAGTTTGGGACCAAATTGAGACAAAAAATTAATGAGGGACTAAATTGAAATAAAAAAAATTATAAGGGACGGAAATAGGATTTTAGCCAATATAATATACTGTAAGAAGAATAATAGATCCTGAAAATTTTAGGACGAGCCAAAGTTTCCCATCCTGTTACTCAAGATGCCACCTTTGGTTAAGACTGAATCTTGTTTTGGTTAACCCAGCTGCTTGTGTGGAGAGTCGACCTAAGAATGAGGTTATTAAAGCTCAAGTTTTAGGTCTATCAATAAAAACTTTGGTTATTAGTTCTTATAAAGCCAAAAGGCTATATATATTAGTTAAAGATC